TGCATTGTACCATTTTAATAGAAGCCGCGGTTTCTAATACAGATTTTACAGTAACCTTTATAATTGCCTACCTCATCAGCATTTCTCACATAGTAATATAATCTTTATAATTGCCTACCTCATCGGTATTTCTCTTATAGTAAAAGTCATAAAGATTATATTAAATATAATCTTTATGACTGCCTACCTCATCTGTATTTCTCACATAGTAATATAACCTTTATAATTGCCTACCTCATCAGCATTTCTCACATAGTAATATAATCTTTATAATTGCCTACCTCATCTGTATTTCTCACAGCAATATAACCTTTATAATTGCCTACCTCATCGGTATTTCTCACATAGTAATATAATCTTTATAATTGCCTACTTCACATGACTATAGTGCTACATCTGCCATATACTAATCTTCAATTTTTCAATTTCCATGCTATATCAATACAACTTTTATAGTGACTTTAGTAAAAAACACGCCAGTTGGTAAGTCAACAGAATTCAAATGAATAATTACAAATCAATTTTAATAAATGTATTGTTGATTCCAAAATAAGCTGGTAATACACCAGTTCGGTTATGCTACAATATGACTTATGATGACAATATGATGTACGTCAGGTTACCTAGATTCTTTCACATTACAGTACTTGCTCTCACTTATACTAGCCAAATAATTTAAACATGCAGTATCGCATGCATATGTAGATTCCAAACTCTCTGGGTGCACATATTTTTTCCTGTCAAGATTTTAGTGCGTCATTTTTTTTCCAATTTTTCTGTATTTTATTTTTGGGCATTATTTCATTTTGGCAATATGTCTTAATTAAAAATTAAAAAAAAAAATTGTATGGTTTTGTGAAAGGTGACTTTGGTGCTTAATTAAATTGATTTGTTTTAATCGGCAACGGTGTCATTCATGAAAATGAACGTTCAGATTTGTTTTTGTGTTGCAGATGAGGACATGGAAGAGATTGATTTTAAGCACAAACTATCATCCTCGGGAAGCCTTAAACGTAAGGAATCTGATAGAGGATCAAAGAAACATTTAAAAAGAACATTATCGACAAATTCTAAAACGACTGATGATGATGACGAGAAGGTGGAAGTAAGTTGATGTATATATTCCTGTACTGTGATGTCTGTATTACAGTCAAGCTGGACCTGAGCTAAAATTATCTATTCAAATCACTAATGGTTCATTTGTAATATCATTGTTCAGTCTGATAACTGAGGTTCATGTTATCCTAGTTTTGAGTTAACTAATTTTCATATTGTATCCAAAATTGTTATTAAGATCCATAGCCAATGAGAAATTTATGTCAATTTCGTTTAAAATTATAATAAAAAATGATAGGAAAAAATTTTAGCAGGAAAAATCATGGGGCTCAAAAATTACAAAGTTTGAAATTATTATTGACATTATGTGAATACACACAGGATGATAAAATACCTGAAGTTGGAATGGGACGTATCATGAAAATGAATGCACCCGAGTGGCCTTACATTATGATAGGCTCCCTAGCAGCTATTATAAATGGTGCTGTACAACCTGCATTTGCTGTGGTTTTCAGTAAAATAATTGGTGTAAGTATAAGGAAACAGTAAGTGTAAGTACATGCAAGTTTGAAAGTGTACTGCACTCAGTTTTTATCGTAGATGAAAGGCAAGCTGTTGTTATTTTTGTTAACTCCATTGTAAAGCTTTCATTTGGTTACAATAACTC